GCTGCGGCAGGCAAAGCATGGCTCACCTGCAGCAGCAGCAGCAGCAGCAGCAGCAAAGTCAGCAGCAGCAACACCAGACTTCGGTGCTGCTAGCAGGAGTCCAAAGGAACAGGAAGCTGCAGCAGCAGCAGCAGCAGCAGCACCAGCTGCAGCAGCAGCAACACCAGCTGCAGCAGCAGCACCCGCTGCAGTAGCAGCTCCTGCAGCAACGACACCTGCAGCAGCAACGCCAGCAGCAGCACCAGCAGCAGCAGCAGCAACACCAGCAGCAGCTACTCCAGCAGCAGCACCAGCATCTGCAGCAGCCCCCCAATCGGCGAAGCCTGGTGCATCACCGGCAGCAGCACCAGCTGCAGCAGCAGCTCCTGCTGCAGCAGCAGCACCTGCAGCAGCACCTGCAGCAGCAGCTGCAGCAGCTCCCGCAGCAGCAGCAGCAGCAGCAGCAGGAAAGCCAGCAGCAGAAGCAGCAAAGCCTCAACAGGCGGCTCCTACGCCGCAGCAGCAGCGGCCCGCCTCTGCAGCAGACAGCAGCAGCAGCAGCAGCAGCAGCAGCACCGGCAGCAGCAGCACCAGCAGCAGCACCGGCTCAAGCTGGGCTGATAGGGTGAAGGCAGCAAAGGCTAGACCAGCTGTACCTGCAGCAGTAACAGCAGCAGCAGCAGCAGCAGCAACTGCAGCAATCAGACAGCAGCACGAACAGGAGAACAAGCAGCAGCCTGCTGGTAGGCCGGGGCACAGCCCGCCGCACCAGCAGCAGCAGCAGCAACAGCAGCAGCAGCAGCAGCAGCCTCAGTGGCCAGTTCGCCGCCACGTTGCTACTGCAGATGCAGCGGAGAAGCAGCAGCAGCAGCAGCAGCAGCAGCAGCAGCAGGCGCAGCAGCAGCAGCAGAAGCCGCAGCATTCAACAGAGTGGCCGCGACGGCCTGCAGCAGCAGCATCTGCTGCTCCTGCTGCGGCGGCTCCAGCAGCAGCAGCAGCGCCAGCAGCAGCACCACCACCAGCAGCAGCACCACCAGCAGCTGCTGCTGCAGCAGCACCTGCAGCGGCGGCGCCTGCAGCACCAGCCCCTGCAGCAGCAGCCGCTGCATCGCATCCCCCAGCAGCAGCAGCAGCAGCACCAGCAGCAGCAGCAGCACCAGCAGCAGCAGCAGCAGCAGCAGCAGCAGC